CACCAGTGTCCTGTTCAGCTCTTCTACCACTGAACATGTTTCCATCTCAGAGGTGAAAGTTAAACCAAAGTGCTTATCACTGCTGCATGTTTGCCTCCGGTGGTTATTTGGGAATTTAATTTGAAGCTCCAATCTACATGAATGAGAAGAATGCTGCTACTTTTACTGCTCTGTCAGTGGGACATAAAAACTCCATGTTGAGATGTACAGTCAATCTGATAAAGACACTTAAAAAGTCTTTTCCCCAAAGTCAGATTTAAAATGCTTCTTATAGTGCATGTTTTTATTTTACTTTGCTTCATTCAAGATGGGGCCTGAGCCAAACATGTCAACGATCCTCGTCAAACATGAAAGTTTGCTAAACCTGCTTTGTGAAACAGCATGTGTTCAGTACTTTCCCACGTCACAGCAAACAGGAGCTGATGATGTTCCTCCTTTGTTGGAGTTTATTCCTCCCTTTGGAGGCCTTCCTACTGGGGGAGGGGGGGGGGATACATGGTCTCAATAGCAAATGTTTAAACGTATGTCTCACACAGAACAACATAACATTATATCACTGTAGCTGTTTATACATGTTCTCCTTGTTTATTGTGTAAGTGATGATGGGAATGAGGTGAATAGTGGGATTCAATAGAGTATTGAGCACGGGGTATATATGGGTTATACTTCTTCCTGCTCCATCTCAGACTTAATAATTGTCATTTAGACTGTTTTATTTTATTTATTTTATTTTTTTGTTTTATCTGATCACATACGTGTGTGTACTTACATATATATTCATTTTGTAAATGCAAATATGTGTACTTGTGTATATATTGGTTTTTTTCTGTATATGTCTGAAATAAAGATATAATATAACACAATACATAAGGCTCATTAAATACAGAGGGACACACTTTTGGTTCACATAAACACATGTAGTTAAATCACCAACAGGCTGCAGGTAGGGCTGGGTTTAACGATTTTAGTTTGAATAAAGTGAAATTGATTCATTAAATCCTGAATCTTTTTTAAATATAAATGTGTTTAATTACAAACGACAGAATCTCAGCTTAAAGCTCATTAAAGTATTTAAACAACCAGCAAACAGCTAAAACAGGAAATGAGAGCAGGTAAACGCACTCGACACAAAGTAAACACACAGCGTGGATCGTTCACCCGACTGGGTTTCATCCTGTTACTTTGACAGAAAGGCATCTGCTGTGACGCTCACACCTCTGATCAAGTCTTTGTTTTTATACATAAATATGTACTGATGAGCAGAACTTTAATATGTCTGACTGTGTCAAAATGTAATCAAATGGAATCAGTTCTAAAACCAGTGAGATTCTCAGGCCCAGCTGCTAGCGCAGGCCTTCAGTCACTCTCAGCAGCAGCTCGCACACCTGCCCTTTGAGGGTAATTCAGTGTCCATGAACAAGTCAATTACTCACTGAATGCCATACAAGAGACAGAAACACAGCTCTAGACGGGTATTTGTTCTTGTGTGGATTGTAAATCTTCTACATGAATCAATCTCTGCAACAACAATGTCTGCGTGCTCTTTAACGCAGGGCTTTGTGTTGCTTTAACTCTTTAAATGATCCAAATGTGTAGTAATGAATTTGAGGTTCTCCTCCTTTAGAAACGGTGATTTTGTCAGTGTGCTTTGGATCATCACGCTGGAGTATTCCTGGGAGAGCTTTTGTCAGATTATTTTGGTCACTGGTGTCGTTTATATCTGTCATCTGAGTACTTCAGCTGTGGAGACGACACATTCATTGTTAACATCAGAAAGTTCATCTTGGTCTTTTCTGATCAAAGAAAGCACTCCCAGCATTTATTCGATTTCATCTCATGCTCTTTAACTAATATTCATTTTTTAATAAACTGAAAAGCAAGTTGTTGTTTTTCCCTTTGGATGCAATCCATAGTTGCTGTTATGCAACCTCTTCCTCACTGAATGAACTCTCAGTAATAACAGCTCCACTGAGTCTAAAGCACTTGTATGTTTTCAGGGCTAGCCTGTGGAGGTAGCATGGGCTTCTTTTAGAAAAGCCACTTCAGCTCGTTGTACGTCTCCTGATTACTGCTGCAGCTCTGTGGTTTGTTCTGGCTGGTCACACACAGCACAGACGGGCAGACACACTCAGGAAGTAGAACATCCACTAATCCCAGTTCAATCATTTAGTCAACAATCATCCTGAAGGCAGCTCCCAACATGAGGACATAACCAAATTATTAAATAAACCGAACTTCAGTCTCGAGTTATTCAT